ACAATAAAAAAATTTCACCTCAAATATATAACAATGAACTAGGCATGTAATCCAAAAACTTATTATTAACAGAAAGGGAAAACTTACTATGTCAGAGGCTGGCACAAGACAACAAATGAAGTCTTAGAAAACATCCTTGTATTGTGAATTCTCCTTCACCCATTGTGAAGGAAGTTAGTAGGAATTAAATTGCACTCATGAGAAGCAACTTATATGTATATCATTTTTATTTTACATCAAAGGGCCTGCCTTCAACAAACTTTTAAAAACATACCCATATTGTAAATCCAATTATCAAATGAATCTTTTTTTTTTCACAAGGCCAAATTCACCAAACTATATCTCAAATTTTACCTACTTTCTTTTCATTTTTGCATCTCCATTATGCATAAAATTGAAGTAAGGTAAGTTTAGTGTAACGATCGGGCCGGTCGTTTCGAGAGTTATAGCCCCGTTCCCCCCATCTTCTGCTTCTTTTGTGTTCTTCAGATGTATTTTGATTTCCCTGTTTAGTTGGTTCGGGTCCGGAGTGGTTTTGGAGTGAATTGAGACACTTAGTCTCTTTTGTGAATACTTAAGTTGGAAAAGTTGACCGGATGTTGACTTATAGGTAAACGATCTCGGATTTGAATTTTGATGGTTCTGTTAGCTTCGTTATGTGATTTTGGACTTGGGAGCACATCTGAAATGTGATTTGGAGGCCCGTGGTATATTTAGGCTTGAATTGGCGAAAGTTAGAATTTTGGCGATTTTGGTCGGCAGTGGAAATTTTGATATCGGGGTCGGAATGGAGTTCTGGAGTTGAAATAGGTTCGTGGTATCATTTTTGACTTGTGTGCAAAATTTGAGGTCATTCGAACGTGATTTAGCGGGTTTCAACATCATTTGTGGGATTCGAAAGTTTAGAAGATCTTAGGCTTGAATCCAAGTGTAATTTGGTGTTTTGATGTTGTTTTGAGTGATTCGAAGGTTCGACTAAGTTTGTATGATGTTATGGGATGTGTTGGTATGTTTGGTTGAGGTCCCGAGAGCCTCGGGTGAGTTTCGGGTGGTTAACGGACCATTTTTGGCCTTAGGATAATAGCTGATCTGCTGGTATTTTTCTGCTGCTGGTTTCCTCTTACGCCTTCGCGAAGAGCATCTGGAGATCGAGAGAGAATTGTTCTTCGCGTTCGCGAAGGAGGGGACGCGTTCGCGAATGTTCAGGAGTATTGTACTTCGCAAACGCGAGAGGAGTACCACGTTCGCGAAGAAGAGAAGAGGCAGCTGGGAATCCCGTTTATTTGGTCTACGTGTTCGCGAGGGGTGGTCACGTTCGCGATTGTTTGAGCTGGTAAAGCTTCGTGTTCCCGAAGCGAAGGTCGTGTTCGCGAAGAGTAAATTGAAGAGGCAGTCCAAGTGGTCTATGCGAATGCGAGAGTGCTGTCGCGTTCGCGAAGAAGAAAATCTGGGCAAACAGTGTTATATTCAAAATCGAGGGTTTGAGCCCATTTTTTATATTTTGAGCTAGAGACCACGAATTTGGGCGATTTTTGAAAGCATTTTCAGGGAGTTGATTGGGGTATGTGTTCCTCACTTGATTTTTGTTAAATTCCATGGTTGTATCTTGACTTTTACCATTCAAATTGGGAATTGGGGTGAAAAATTGGGGGAAAAATGGAAGAGTTATTGAGATTAAATTTTGAAGGGGACTTTGTTGTCGGATTTGAGTGAATTTGGTATGGTTAGACTTGTGAGTGAATGGTTTTTCTAGTTTTGTGACTTTTGTCGAATTTCGAGAGTGGGCTCGGGGGCCAGGTTTGAGCCAATTTCGGGATTTGGCCTATAATTTTATATTTTTCTTGTGGAATTGGTTCCTTTAGCCTATATTGATCGTATTGTAATTCTTGTGGCTAGCTTCGGGGCGTTCAGAGGCTGAGTCGAGAGGCAAGGGCATTGCGGAGTAGGATTTTTGCTCGGTTGAGGTAAGTAACGCTTTCAAACTTGGTTCCGAGGGTTCGAAACCCCGAACTACGTGTTATGTGATTAGTAATAAGGTGACGCACATTCCAAGTGATGGGCGTGCGGGCGTGCACCGTGAGAATCGTGACCTGTTTCATTCCATGGCATCGTTTAATGACTCTTTCTTGTTGATATCCGGGTTTCTGTTATATGATAAAGTAATCAAGCTATAAACATGCTAGATACCATGTTAGGGCTTCATGGCGACACTGTTGGGACCCCTAGTGGTCGTTTCTTGCTGTCATTTCACTGATTTCGTTATTATCTTGTACTCAGTCATATTCATGCATTTCATATCATATCTCAGTATTCGTTATTATTATTGGCATATCATATCATTGTTTCTGGGATAGTTTTCATGACATTGTGAGCCCGTGGGTGAGACTGAAAGAGATGACTAAGTGAGGCGAGAGCCTGATTATGAGTGACAGTTATGGTGTCGGGCTGCACGGCGCAATAGTTATATTAATTATGATAGCGCTTGGGTTGTAGGAGCCCCTCCGGAGTCTGCACACTCACAGTGAGCGTGGATGATATTATTGAGGGTTGGATTTTCCTGGACATGGATTTGTCGGAGGTATTGATATGTGGAGATGGATTTCTCCACAGGTTAGATTACCCTTTTTCCTTGGTACCGGGTGACTTATAGTCGGTGATGAGTATGTTCCGGGATGAATTTTCCTGGGCCGGATGACCATATACGGTACCGAGTGGTTGAGTATTTATATATACCTGGAGATGGATTTCTCCACCGGGTTGGAGTACCCTTTTTCCTCGGTACTGAGTGACTTACAATCAGTGTTGTATATGTTCCCGGATGGATTTCCCTGGACCGGATGGCCATAGTCAGTACCAAGTGGATGAGCACTTGAGAGTGGGAGCATACTGTGCATTTCATACAGTTGATGCATTGGCATGTAGAAGAAGTTGAGTGATATATCTTAAGCTGTTCAGATCTGGATTTACCTTGTCACTTTGAACTGTCTATTTAACCGAAAGCATGCCTACGTTTCTGTACATTGATTCTATTATATCTGTTGAGGTTGAGTTCGTCAGTACCATTCAGCCTATACTCGTTACTTATTGAGTTGGTGTACTCATGTTACCCCCTGCACCTTGTGTGCAAATCCAGGCACTTTTGGACCTAGTGGCGCTTCTTGATCGAGGCTTCAGGCTTAGGAGATTATTGACGTATCTGCACGGCGTTCGCAGGCCTCGACTCTCCATCTCTATCTCAAGATGTATTTCAGTTTGTTTTCCTTGAACGTTGTAATAGACTATGTTTTCCTTTAGACGCTCATGCACTCAGTGACACGCTGATTTTGGGCTGGATTGTATCTTATCTTGAAATTTCTTATGTTCAAATAGTTTCTTTAAATGTCAAAGGCTTCCGTTAAATGTTTTTAAACTTATTCTTGTTGTGCTGGTTTGTTGAGTTGAGGCTGGCCTAATTCCACGATAGGCGCCATCATGGCGGATTGAGTTTTGGGTCGTAACTTCTAAATTATTGAACCTTTCTACTATAATTTTGGAAATAAGTGAAAAATATTGAGAGCAAAGAGACCACCAGCAAAGGAAAAAGAACAGAGTATGCCAAAAGTACAAAGAAACAACAAAAGAGAAATAAATTTTGACTAGTAAAGAAACCCTAATCTATGACCAATAAAACATATATTTAATCTAATTGGCATATGAATCTAAAGAAGGGAAAACTTCTTCTGTACTCACTACAAACACAAATAAATGTTTACCCACTTCAACTTTGCATTTCACATGCAAAGGGCGAACAAAATCAAAACCAAGAGGAAAAGGGAGAGAGAAAGAGTAGAGCGAATTACCTAGCGACAGTGGCCGGTGACGGTGGGAAAGACGAGTTGAGTGCTACCGACGATAGGAGAGAGAGATGAGGGAAGGCATCTGCCCTATCTTGCGGCTTACTGTGGGTATGTAGATGTGTTTTTGCGCAGTACATGGAGAGAAAATTTTACAAGGAAAAAACTTGAGGGAAAATGAAATGAGTAAAATAGGCATTTAATCTAGTTAACCTTTACTGGTTATTACTTTTGAATTGCTGGTGAAAATTTTGATTTCTTGGAAAATGTTCAATTGTCGCTAATGTTTGTGCAGAGAAATTTAGTTTACCGACAATTGGCTGATTGCCACTAAATGTTTGCCGCCAAAACGCTTTTTTATAGTAGTGATCATAGAGATTGATTGCCATTTTATTCGTGACAAAATCAAGAAAGGAACAGTCAAAGCAGTACATGTCAACACTAAAGAACAACAAACAGATTTGTTGACTAAGACTTTGGGGACAGGTCAACATGTTCATCTGCTTGGCAAGCTTGGATTGTTCAACCTCTTGCACCCTCCATGAGGGGGCACGTTGTAATATCATATGCCATGCATGTGATCAGTTAGTTTGGCTGTTAAGAGTAGTTAAAATTGTTAATGTAAGTTTAGAATAAATTAATTATTTTAAATTCATTAATTTTCTTCTTCTTTAGTTTGTATATATATAAGAATGCTGAAGATCAATAGAATAGTGGCTCTGATCATTATTCCCAATTCACCGACTCACTCTCAATTACTTCTAGAACCGTCCTCCATTGGAGCCCTTGGCTAATCCTTGGGCTTTAGGAATACCTTACCCAACTTATAATTAATGTGTACAAATAAACAAGCCATTTACCCAAAAGAGATAATTAATCAGCTTACAAAGCATAAAACATTCTCATATAAACCCAAAAGAGATATGCATCAGCTTACACAGCTTAAAACAACGTAAACATACTACTCCATTTACCCAAATGAGATACTGATCAGTTCAGTGAACTTGATTATACATGTACAAATAACCTACTAGCAGCTTTTCATATCTTTCAATCTATACTAGGTAAATCTCATAAGATTAAAACGTACGTATATATATATATATATATATATATATATATATATATATATATATATATATATATATATACACACACAGAGGCCACTAAGAGATAGAAGAGAACATGTTAGGAATAAAGACCAACGCACACGTTCAAGTACAATCCATACGTATTCGTACGTATAAATACACGAGCTCCTTCATAATTATCTAATCAAATATTACTAACAATAATGGGAAATTAAACAAACATTCTAGGAGAATCAGTTGGAATTATCAAGTCGCTTCTTCGTATTCTCTGCAGCGTCAGCAGCCTCGACCTCCATTTTTGCTTTCAACATATCAGCCTGTGTTGCTTCCTCCTCACTTCTTGCCGTCATCTTCTTTCCCTGCCCAAACGTAACATTAATAAACTACTATTCTTTAAAGCTACTTACAATCAGTTACAACGTTACTATCACTGTCTTTGGTAAAAGCACAAAAAATCTTATGAAACAAAATATAATTACCTGACCAACAAAAAATGCCTTAATGTAGCGGCAACATTGTTGCAATGACGTCGTAAAATACAGGAATCCTTTCGTAAATTTTGACTTCGTTGCCGGAGTCGCTGACTTAATATCCTCCATGGTCGAATCGAAGCTCTAATAATTGTAAGTTTATAGTATATATATATACCTCTCTCCCTTTCTCTTAGTAAAGTTGACACGGAGATTAGATGGTTCTCGTTTTATATTTCTTTCGTTTTCTTCTTCAATGAGGTGATTTTTTACACTTGCATATTCATTCTGTCAAACATGCTAATAGGTGGCATGCTCTGAATTCACCTTAAGTTTCTAAAATTTGCCACGTTGCACCAATATTAAACCATAACCTGCCACGTGTTACGTCTTTATCAGTTTGTCATGCTTGTTATGGAAATGTGTTGGATTGCCCTTGGGCTAATTTTGAGACGGGAATTTTTATAAATCATTGAAGTTTGGAGTCTAATAATTATAATTCGCTTAATTATTATTTTTACTTATTATTTAGTAATATACAACGAATACAATTTATATCGATTATATTTATTTCGCGCGACGAATACAACTAAGGCGAAATATAGAAATACAGAAATACTGAAAAATATTTCTAATCTGATGAGGAATTTAAAGGAAGAGCCGAGAGCGTCCACAAGAAAAGAAGAATTATTTGGAGAAAGAAACAATGAATTTCACAGCAAATTAGGAGAGATTTGAGAGGAAATGTTGTTTCATTATTGTCACAGAAGGGAAGAAGGTAAAGGCCTGAGATGAAAAATGGAAATAAGAATAAGGAAAGAGTGGAATGGATGAAGGAAGTAAAAGAAAAAAAGAAAAAGAGAGGTAACGATATAATGGCAACTTGTGTTGGCTAGCTAGCAGCTAAGTGATAAGCTGATAGCTAACTACAGTTAAGCTTAATTGTAATATTAACTAGAGTTAGTAAGTTAGGAGTTAGTGAAAGTCGGTTAGTGTTAAAGTCAGTTAGTTTGTTAAATACTGTAGGAGAATGTACAAAACTCAGTTTTTGGAAAATGAAGTGAGCTAGTTCTCTTCTTCTCTCATTCTTCATTCATTTTCTCCTTCTAGATTCTTCCTTCACGATAGCTTTGATCACCATTTCCATGGTTGTTAACATCGTATCAGGTCATCGGTGTGGATCTAAGCAAGTTTGCCAACGAGTTTCTTCATCTAGGTTGCTTCAATTCTGCAATTTGAGGTGTCGAATTGTCTCAGAGCAATTCTCGATTGAAGCTAGGGTTTGCAAATTGTGTTCTGTGAAGCCAATTCCCAGTCAACAATGGCGGTTGAAGAGGATCAAATCAATAATACTACTCCTACTCACACTGCCACGACCTCAGCAAATGGCAATTTCATGACTAGTACCTCTTTCCCTACCATTGATCATAATCACCCTCTATATCTACAGCCAACCGACACACCAAGTAGTTCTCTAATCTCTCTTCAACTTACTGGATATGATAACTATGCTTTGTGGAGTCGCGCAATGAGAATTGGCTTGCTAGGTAAGAATAAATTAGGATCTATCAATGGCAGATTTCCTAAGTCTAAGTTTGAGCCTGAACTCCATGATCCGTAGGAGAAAGTGAATGCTATTGTTTTGTCATGGATAATGAATGCCGTGAGGCCAGGTTTGCTAAGTAGTGTCCTATATGCATCTAGTGCTCATAAAGTTTGGGAAGACTTAAAAGAGAGATTTAATAAAGTAAATGGTTCCAGAATTCTGTACCTACATAGGGAGGTTCATACTTTGACTCAAGGAGTTATGACTATAACTGCCTATTTCTCCAAACTAAGAGAGCTTTGGGATGAGTTTGATGCTCTTATACCATGTTCTGGCTGTCCCTGTCCTGAGTCAAAGAAGTATGCTCAACACTTTGAATATCAAATGCTCCTTCAGTTTCTTACTGGCTTAAACGAGTCCTATTGGCAGTCAAGGAACCAAATCATGTTGATCTCTCCTTTGCCTAGTATAAATAAGTCCTATTCTATGTTAGTTGATCAGGAAAGCCAAACAAACCTTGCAAATATGACATAAGTAGCCCAAGTTTATGAAGTCTTGGAGAATGCAGCTATGTATAGTAGCAAGAACACAAATAATACTAGAAACTACAAACCAAAGAGGAGTCATGTTCAATGTGAGTATGCAAATCAAGTGTGTGGTGTAGAGGTGAACTGTACAGACATATAAATTATGGGAAACAATGTAGCTTCTAGAGTGATTCAACAAGGCAGAGGAGGAAGTCACTCTAATTCAGGTGTTCCATAACCAGCAAATCAACCTACTTTTCTTCTAGCAAATGCCATATCTGGCCTGCTCCTATCTTTACTACTGAACAGTATCAACAAATTGTTCATCTGTTGTCCAATGAAAGCACAGAAGGATTAGACTCATCAAGCAAATCAGCCGCTGCAGGTATTCTGAGCAAAGTGAATGCTTTTATGCCTCATTGTGTTAATGACAAGTGGATTGTTGACACTGGGGCATCAAATCATATGACTTCAAGCATAGACATGTTGCACACTCACATGGCACTTCTAAACACAGAAGAAAACAAAGTACACTTACCTACTGGAAGTGTTGCATCAGTATCACACACAAGAAATACTTCTGTATTAAGTAATCAGGAAATCTCTAATGTTCTCTACATTCCTGACATTAAGTTCAACCTACTCTCAGTTTCAAAACTCACTGAGGAACTAAAATGTATGGTTGGTTTCTTTCCTGACTTCTGTATTTTTCAGGACCTCTTCAGTGGTCAGGTGAATGGGATTGGTAGAGAGGAGCATGGATTGTACATACTGCGTGGGAGTACTTCTATATCAGCCTCATCTCAAGCAACAAATAAGTGTGTCAACACAACAAATGATGTTTCCACTTCTACTTCTTCTGTTTCCAGTACTTCTTCCAGGTCTAATGTGTCTATTTCTAGCATTTGCAGTTTATGACATAAGAGATTAGTACATGATCCTGTAGACATAATAAAGAAGATAGAGGCACTGAGTAAGCTGACAACAGGTAACTCTAATTAGCCCTGCACTGTATGTCCTGTTGCTAAACAAACCAAGATGCCTTTTCAGTTGAGTAATACTACAACAAAGTATGCTTTTGAATTAGTTCACTGTGATATTTGGGGACCATATACAGTACCTAGACATGATGGTAAAAGGTACTTTGTCACCATAATTGATGATTATAGCTGATTTACTTGGATTTTTCTCTTAAACTTTAAGTCAGAAGCAATTGTAGTCCTAAGAGATTTTCTTACTCAAGCAAACAATGTGGTATCTACTACTGTTAAAATTCTAAGGACTGTTAATGGAAGTGAATTTTTTAGTACTGAGTTCAAGCATTTATTGTCTGGTCTTGGTATTGTCCATCACAGTACATGCTGAGAATACTAAAAATCATTGATGCGGAAAGAGCGACATTTAGAGAGGACATTTAAGTGCAAACTTCCATCAAGTCAGAGAAGATTGTAATTTTTTTTTCCTCATTACGTTTACTGCTCCTTGTCTTTTCTTTTATCTACATGATTGTAGTAGTAATAGTTTGGGATATATCAATTCTTAATGCAGTAGTCCATATAATGATATAAACTAGAACGTTGAAGTTCCTTGTGACCAGTAACTATGGGGCATCTCCACAATTTTGTCTGCTCTTATCAATTAGTGCAATTTTTTTTAGAAAAGAGAAAGAGATATATTTTCTTTTGAAGGTAATGCGTATAATGAGAAGGGTCAAGTTGCAACCATTTCGCACCAAGGTACGTAAAAGCCTTTCTTGAAAGCTGTTTCACAATAATTCTTCTTACCGAGAGATACTGGAAACTATTTCAAATTTGATTGTGGAATTTGAAGGAAGACTGCCGAGAGTGTCCACAAGGAAAGAAGAATTATTTGGAGAAAGAAACAATGAACTTAATTTCGGAGTCGTCTAAACAAAATTCCGAAGTTAACGAAACCGACGAAACTCCATTCTGGAGTCGTCTTCACAAAATTCCAACTACGGTCAAAATCCTAGAACTTAAGCTTCCATTTTAGGGACTAAGTGTCCCAATTCACTCCAAAACCAAAAAACAAAACCTCCCGGCAAGTCACATAAGCATAAAATGAAACGGAGGAAGCAGTAAATAGGGGATCGGGGCTAATACTCTCAACACGATCGGCCGGGTCATTACATCCTCCCCCTCTTAAAACAATCGTTCTTCCTCGAACGAGCATAGAGACATACCTGAAGTGGTGAAAAGATGAGGATAACGGCTGCACATATCATGTTCGGTCTCCCAAGTCACCTCCTCGACCGGCTGATCCCTCCACTGAACCTTTACTGAAGCAATGTTCTTTGACCTCAGCTTTCGAACCTGCTTGTCCAAAATAGACACCGGCTCCTCAACATAAGATAAATCCTTGTCCAACTGGACTGAGCTGAAATCTACCACATGATACGGATTGTATCGACCCGATCGGTCGTTTCATGAGTTACCGCTCCGTTTCCCCCCATTTCTGCTTCTCATTGTCTTGTTCAGCTGTACTTTGTGTTATCGGGTTCGTTGGCTCGGGTTCGGAGAGGTTTTGGTAATGTTTGAGGCACTTAGTCTCTTTGAAGAAAGCTTAAGTTGGAAAAGTCAACCGGATGTTGACTTATGTGTTATAGGGCTCGGATGTGAATTCCGATGATTCGGATAGCTTCGGGAGATGAATTGGGACTTAGGAGCGTGATCGGAATGTGTTTTGGAGGTCCGTAGTAGATTTAGGCATGAATTGACGAAAGTGGAATTTTGGCATTTTCCGGTTGTTAGGTGAGATTTTGATATAGGGGTCGAAATGGAATTCCGAGAGGTGAAGTAGGTCCGTTGTGCCATTTAGGATGTGTGTGCAAAATTTCAGGTCATTCGGACGTGGTTTGATAGGCTTTTTGATCAAAAGCGTAATTCGAAAGATTTTAAGAATCTTAGGCTTGAATTCAATGTGTTTTGGTTGATTTGATGTTGTTTGAGGTGTTTTGAAGATTGGTATAAGTTTGGATGGTAGTATATGGCTTGTTTCTGCTTTTGGTTGAGGTCCCGGGGGCCTCGGGGTGATTTCGGAGGGTTGACGAAAAGATAGAAAATTAGGAATGGCAGTTGAAGTTTTAGGACTGCTGTCATAACCGCATCTGCAGTTGAAGGATCGCAGGTGCTATCACCGCAGATGCGGAAGATCAGTTGCAGAAGCGGAAGGG